CTGCCACGCCATGTGGTCACCTCTGGGGCAGGCGGGGATCGAACTCATGCAGAAGTGGCTTTGACTTCTTAGTGCTGTGCTTTAACCCGCTGTGCCACCAGGGAGGGCCCAACCATACTATTTTTAATACAAATAAATGCAATGGTGTTTGATAATTTAGCTTTATAAATAGTCAGTAATATGTCTCACCCCCAGCTGGAGCTATAAATCAGAAGTCAAAGTCTATGTTAAGTACAAAGTGATTCTAATACATTTGGCAAGCACCACTATATCAAATCTCAGATTTCATAATAAACATTCTATCTAAATACTGTTTTTCCATAATGATGGAATTTTTTTTAAGCTTTATAACTTAGGAGGTTGTCAAAACCTTTATGCAAGCTCCAAATAAATCTTAAGCAGAACCCATATATAAAGAAGATAAAATATGTCATTACTCTGGCAACTAGAGATCCTCACCCTCAGGGGAACCTTTGTTATTTTTTGATTAATTTTTATTGAGGTAACATTGGTTTTCACTATATGTGATTTAAAGGAAAAGGTTCATACCTCAGAGGTGTATGTCCCACAGCACACCCACCACCGAAGTACCTATAGTCCTTTACCACAGACCACTGGGGTTCTCTTCCCAGTAGGGGAGTGTTCAATATTCCTAGTCAGAAAGTAACTCATCTGGGCTTCTGCTTTTTAGGTCCAAAGTGGGGAAAATGGCAGACAAGGATTAGGCCTGTAAATTCCCAGCTTCACTTATTAGTTGAGCTCCTCCCTTTCTAAACGGACAAGTCACAGTCCTCAAATTTTTCTATCATTGTTTCACATATACTAAGTGCCTTCCTGGTATAAAGTTCTGAGTTAAACATGACTAAGATATTGTCTCTGCTTTTAAAAACTGTAGACCCATGCCTTATCAATTAAAAACTTTCAAGTTCTATTATTTATTTTTTATCTTAAATTAAGTAATCTACCTCTACTTATCACCCGCTCCCTTAGCCCTGAACTTTTCGTATAATTATTTGGCTTAAGTCCTGTTCCAAGTTCTTTTTTGCAATTATGACATAGCTTTCTTCTGGGGGAAAAGTTAAAAGATAACCAGAAAACTGACTTGTAGTTAAGAAAACAAGCAGTTAACAACCAGTCAGGCATCCATCACTATCTCTGAATAATTTATTTTTTTTTAAGATTAAAAAGATTTATTTATGCATACGGAACTGGGTAAAAGGCCAGTGGTGTAGGGGTAGTAAGAGGATTCACCAGAGACAGAATAGGGAGGAGATCAGGCAGATCGACAAAGTACACTGATGAAGGGAGCAGCAGGTGAGACAGGAGAGGTCTGCCTTGCTATGTGAATCACCACTGGGGCAGGGATCGAACTCCACCAAAGCGGCTGTGGCAAGCTTGTGTGCTTAGTCCTAACCTTCTGTGCTGCCAGGGAGGGCCTATCTCTGAATCTTAGTAGGTCTTATATTTATCTACAATCAAGAGTTAGCAAGACCAATTTCCAGACATAATTTTCTCTTGATGACTTGACCATGCTCAATGAAAAATTGAGGTATTAAGTTAAAAACCAAAAAGCAGAGAATGGCAAGTTTTGCTTTCTGAATGTTTACCATGGTCACAATTGCTACAATCAATCTCAATTTAGGGATAATTTTTTTTTTTTTAGCCAGCCATTTAGAAGAATTATTTATGTATGTATATAAGAGCTGGGGTACAGGCCAGAGGTGAGGGGGCAGGGTGACAGGACTCACCAGAGACAGAGTGGGGAACAGAACAGGCAAACTGACTGAAATACACTGCTGAGGGGAGCAGCAGGAATGCTGCAGCATGTAGGTCTCTTCCCTGGCCAGAGATCGAACTCATGCTGCAGTGGCTGTGCATAGCTTCATAGTGCTGCACTTTAACCTCTTGCACCACCAGAGAGGCCATAGGGATACATTTCTTAATGCAAAGTAGGTCAGAAAGTTTCAGAAACTTGTAACTTTACATTTATAATTTAGTTTTCAAGCAGCCTACTAGAAATGGATATGGACTGAGTCTTATTTATCTCTGGGTCCCTAGTATTTAACTTTGTGCTTGGCCCATAGAAGATACTAGATAAATATTGTATAAACAGTTCTGTGAACCCAGCATATGCTTTTCTAAAAATAGCAACCTAAGACAAAACTATGAAGACAGTAAAAGGTTGTCAGTGTTTGGAGGTAGGGGAGTAAGTGGCCAGAGCACATAGGATTTTTTGGGCAGTGAAAATACACTGTGAGACAGCATAATGATGGAATGTTATTATACATTTGTCCAAATCCACAGAATGAATCATAATGTATAATCATAATGTATCTATGGGTGCATCTGTGGCAGTACAGGCATATGGAAAATCTCTGTACCTTCCTCCAATTTTGCTGTGAAACTTAAATGGCTCTTAAACAAAACAAAACAAAACCCAATAACTCCATTTTGCTTCAAATAGCATCATAAGTTTGCACACTTGTTTCTGAAAAAACAAAGTCTAATGAAACAGTTAATTTTTTTGGTGGGGGGGAAATAGGGGGATGAAACAAAGGGAGAACAGACATTTTAATTACTTACATTTGGTTAGATTTCAAATGGAAGTAATTCTTTTTTTTTTTAAGATTTATTTATTTATGCACACAAGAACTGGGGTACAGGCCAGAGGTGCAGGGGGTGAGAGGATTCAGCAGAGACAGAGTGGGGAGCAGAACTGGCAGACTGATGAAGTACACTGCGGAGGAGAGCAGCAGGTGAGAGAGGAGAGGTCTGCCACGCCATGTGAGTCACTCCCTGGCTGCAGTGGCTTCTGAGAGCTTCATAGTGCGATGTTTTAACCCGTTGTGCCACCAGGGAGAGCCCTGGAAGCAATTCTTAAGCTTGGCAGTTAGTGTGTACTTACCCTCGGTTCTGTAAGTCCTCTAAGTTGGAGGCATTCCATTCTGAGCCCTGTGGAACCAGAGAGACCAGGTTAGGGAGTATTAGCAAATCAACTAAATATAACAATTAAAAAGGAGTCCTGTAAAGGAAGAACCAGAATTTCTAAAAAGAAATCAATAATATCTGAGTTTCCTCTCTACAGGGCTGACACTTTATATGTTATCACAAATGATACAGTAGAGTATTATCTTCATTTTTACAGAGAAGAAAGCCCAACCCTTATAGTTAAAATAATTTTTGCTCAAGAGCATATTGCTGGAGGTGTCTCTTAACATCCTCCTGCTATTCTTGTTTCTATTTTTTTTAAAGATTTATGTATTTATGCATACAATAATTGCAATACAGGCCAGAGGTAAAGGGGGTGAGAATATTCACCAGAGACACAGTGGGAAGAAGAACAGGCAGACTGACTGAAATACACTGCTGAAGAGAATACCGGATGAGACAGGAGAGGACTGCTGTGCCATCTAGGTTCATAGTGCTGTGCTTTAAAACCTCTTACACCACCAGGGAAGTCCTCTTGTTTTTATTACTATGATTTTTTTCCTTAATAGCACATTTGTACTTACATGTTAATGTGCTTATTTAATAACTGTGCTCCACTATAAAATAAGTTTTTTGAAGGAGCACTGTGTCGGGCTCCCTATGAAAACCCCTGCACAGTGCTTGGCATCTGGTAAGTATCCAATAAATATTTGTTGAATGAATGAAGTGCCATTATTATGAATTAAACTCAGATTTCATTCTAAATTCCACATTCTTTCTAGTGCATTGTGTTGCAGCTAGGGAGCTAGGGTGTATGTGTTAGGTGTATGTGTGTATGTGATAAGGAGAGAGGGAAACAGCAGCTATGTCAAACAAATGAGGGGACCATAATATATAAATTTAAAGAAGGGGGTTCTATATTGTTGGGGAGCTATATCAATTGTTAATCTTTGGTCACAATTCCTTTCCTTGAATGCTTTTTTCTCTGAGCCATTTGAAAGTAATTTGAGCTATCATGGCATTTCATTTCTGATCTTATATCATTTAAGAACAAGAAGTCTCTAACATAATTTCATTTTTACAACCAAGAAAGATAACAATCATCATTCATATTTGAATTTCAAAAGATGTTCTCAAAATGTCCTTTATTATATACACTCAGTCAAGGATCACACTTTGCATATAGCTACAATGTCTCTGCCATTTATATTAATAGACCAGTGCCCCCCTGACTTTGTTTAGTCTTTCATGATACTGACATTTTTATGGACTGCAGGCCTATAATCTTGGAGAATTCCCTAAAGATCAGGTCAAACATTGAAGGTAAGAATATTACAAAAGTGATAGTATATACTTCCTACTGCATCATGAGGAATACAGTATCAGTTTGTTGCATTATTTGTCATGCTGAGTTTGAATTCTTGGGCACCTTTGTGTCTGTCACATTGCTCCATCGTAAAGTTTCCTTTTAAGATTAGTAATCTTTGAGGCCATGTGGATATCCTGTTTTATAATAGTCTTATGTCTTCAGCATTCAACTGCTGATTTTGCCCAAATCAGTTATTTTAGTGGCGGTTTCTGATCCCAACATTGCTTCTGTATGTTAGCTGGCCTGCCTCTGTAAAAGGAGCTTCACCTGATTAACCCCCCAACCCATTGAGAGTCTCTATGGACTTTGGAATTTTTTTTTATTTAGTATGTTATAATCCATACCCACCACAATTTTGTTTTACTTTATTTTTTGGACACTTAAATTGTCCAAAATTAACTTGGCCAGTGGAAATCTCTCCAGGCAAAGTCCTTTTGATATAATCCCATTAAAGTCTTTGAACACTTTCTTTATTTCTAGTCAAAAAGTTGTTCCAGATTCACTTTGTAAATGAAATCAGCCATTTCCTCATGGAATCCTGTTTTTTTGTTAATGTAGAATAATATTTTGTAATCAAAATCTGGGCGTTATTAATAGATATGCTCAATTCTACTAGGTGTCGTTACTTCTAAAACTTTTTAGTGGATAGATCTAGGAAACCTTTCTAAAAAAGTATTTATATTGCTACTTCCGTTGAAATCTAACACAATAAAGTTATTCCTTTTTTTTCTTCCCACCCTCCATCATTTTTAATCTCCCTATTTCACAGTGAGACTCTTGGCTCCCAACAACTCAACTGCTGAGGGGTGCAGTGGGCAAGACAGGAGAGGTCTGCCTTACCATGTGGATCACCTCCCTTGCCAGGGATTGAACCTGTGCTGCAGTGGCTTTGGGTAGCTTCATAGTGCTGTTGCTTCAACCCCTTGTCTCACTAGGAGGGTCCTACGATACATTTTTAAGTAAATTCACCTCTCTTTCACTCTGGTTCTCCTACACTGTAGCCTGGTCCAAAGACCTAAGTAACTTATTTCTTTGAAAATGTTAACCTCAGGAAGTAGTCTTACTGAGGTTCAGCTTTCTAAAATAGAGAAGGAGAACACATTTTTGGCAGATGAGCAGGGTTATACTGAGGATTCTACTAAGACCTAGATGACTTGGCCTAATGTCCAAGGATTGTATCCCTATCCATATCTTCTTCATCATACCATATTGACAGTTCTAAGGCTGTGCGAGTCACATTACCATGGCAATTAGACATAAACTCTCTATTCACTCTTTTCTAAGAATAGTTTATGCTACACATCTCCAGTTGAGGAGTTATTTTAATCATATTCATGATTTTTGCTGATTTGATTATTGCTTCATCTATTTACATATTCTTTTTTTCTGATCCTAACCACTAATTTGAAGCTTAATTTTTCTTTGAAAACACTATTCCTAAAGAACATGCAATGTCAAATCTTGAAAAAGATAATAACAGTAAAAATTGGAACAATCTTTTCATTCATAAGCAAAAGTATTGGTTGTGTCCAATATTTCTGTGCTTTCATTTCGGCAGTTAAGATTAAGCTGCTTGTCTTTCTGCAAAGGGTCTCTGGTCACATCTAGCTTTTTCTCAGCCAAATTGGACAGCCTCCAGGAAAGCGTATGATACTGAAAATTGGTTGAGCAAGGACTTTGGGCTCAGAGAAGTTGTAAACTTGTACGGGTGTGGAAGAACTTTTTCTGGAAACACCCTGGCCTCCAACAAATCATGCTTTCTTTTTGCCTCAGATTGTCTTTAAATTATACCTACATTTTTCCTTCCCACACTAGTGGGGTACCTTTGCAAATAAACACCTCTGTGCAATGGACTACAACAATCTTCCAAAGGGAGGGTAGATGATATCCGGCTGTCTCCCTTCACATAACCGGCTTGCACTATAGGCATCACAACTACGCACAAGATGAAATGACTTTGCAGAAAATTAACACCAACACTTGCAGCTCGGATAAGACTTCTTTTCCTGACTTCTGGGAAAGTCAGCAGAGCACAGACTCACTGGCGAAGAGATAGCAGTCTGGACACAGGCTATGTTGGTGTAAACAAAGGGAGGAAGCCATCAAGGAAGAAGTATAATAGGATGTTTAGAAAAACTTCTATACACTTAATTTATATTTGGATAAGCATTAAATTTCAGGATTCTCTGGTTTAAATGGTTTTTTTTCCCCCCCAAATAAGAAAAATATTCAGAATGGAAAGAACATGTCCATGCTCTAGAAGATAGAAAGAAGTTGAATTGGATTTCCCCTTTTTCCAAAATAGGTCTGAAAAAAAAAGTTTCCAAAATAGGTCTGTAAATACATAATAAAAAAGTAAAATAGAGTGGAAGGCAATATTATATAATGAAAAGTAACAGTGCTTATATCTCTGGGTGATGACTGAAAGTTTATTTATTGTCCTCTAAAATTTTTTAAGTTTTCTGCAATGAGCAGAGATTATTTTTGTTATAAGAAAAAAATCAAGACAGAAAAATATGTCTTTAATCATGAAATAATGGCATGGATTTATTGGTGGAAATATGCAAATGCCTTTGTAACTGATTAGGGACTAATGAGTATTCTGGGGAGGGATTGTTCTTTCTTTTTAGGGTATTATTAAAATTTGCGCATATGCCCTAAAAGACACTATTTTGAGGAGGAGTTAAGGAGAAGGATACATGCTTGAAGATAAACAGGTTGACTGGTCAGACACTGGCTGCTTTTGATAGTCATCATATGTATATCCTTTTTAGGTATTAAAATCCAAGCTCATGGGAAAGGGATTTCCAAATTTGCAGCATTGGTCACTTTCTAACATGAGCTATTTTTGGCTACATAGGCATTTGCCCTTCATAAAAGTTAGTCATGTTACACAGAGACAGTTGGGGGCAGGGCTCATCTGTATGACTCATGCATTTTCTATAGGTAACACAAAAATCCTTCCCCATAGCACAAGAATGGGTAATACTTGAAATCTTGTTGTAAGCATATACAAATGGCAACAAAGCCAAATGCTTTACAAGTAGAAAGGTCAATGACAGTTACACAGTATGACGTTATCCTCCCAGCTCACAGCTTTTCATGAGTAATTTCATAGCTACACACCACTATGAATCATTCTTAGCAGACTGACTCTAAGTATCAACAAATTAATTCAGGATACAAGCCTTCAATAGCATAAAGTCTGGCTGCTTGGTGAAATAAGCTCTTGAATATTCAGGGTGAGATGATCCAGTTTAGTTTAGTCAGTTCCTATGCATTTATTCCTCTTCTCACCTGTTCCTAGCTTCTAATCATTTCACAGTTCACAAATTTCTTATCAGAGAAAGGAAGTGAAATTCAAACCAATAGATTTAATTTCATGTTAGCATTTTTTTTTTTTTGGTAAATAAAAACGAGGTGTTGGTGTTTACCACTGTCTTTAATTATTCTTGTTAGCCTTATAACCATTACCCTATGTTGAAGAAAACTAAATCTCATTAACATTTGGGTAGAAAATAGGTCTTCAGATTTTAGAAGCTTCCTTGGTTCATGTGCAGAGGCTCTGTGGATTAATTATAGGTCACTGAAGGTTCAAGAACAATGAAGCACAACTTTAAGTCACTCAGTTTTTGGTAGTCACAAAAGTATTTTGGGGACTCAAAATGTAGCCATAAGACTACAAATGCTTAGAAGTCTAATAGACTCTCATTATAAATCTAACTTGATCAGTTATATGAGACTTTAGACATAATGGGCAAATTTGAAAGCATGACCTCAGAGGATCACCCCTTATTTGCACTATATAAAACTACTATGGGCTAGTCTGTTTTTGACTTATGAAGAACAAAGGAGATAAGTTAACAACCCCAACTGAAAAAAGACTGATTTGTAGCATTTGTCAATTTCCTTGGTGTAAAAATTCCCACCAGAGTCAATTTTAATCCACTAGCTTTACATTACTGAGTGAGGAATTGGGAAGAGATATGGAGAAGCACACCATTCTACAACACTTGTACCATATAGGTGACGTAAACAATGCTAAAAGCATGGATAATAGTGAACTAAATTAGGAAGTAATGAGGTAATATTTATTACCTCTTTTTTTTAACGTAAATCACATTTTATTTAACAATTATCCCTCCATGGGTTAGCATGGTCTAATTTCAGCATACCATTTAATGTGGTCCAAAGACTTACCAAGAACACGTGATCAAATATCTGTGTAGGACTATCCATTTGGCCAAGGATCACTATCATTTCATTGTCTATAAATTCCTTGAATTCTCGCAAATTGCACACCATTTGCATTTCCAACTCAGTTCGTATCTGAAACAAAGATGGTTTATGATACTAATTTCTGGGAGGTCCATCTGTATCTTCATTTACTCACCATTTCTAGCCCATTCTCACTATTACCCTATTCCCAGCCTTGGAACAGTGAGGACTTATGGTCTCTTACCTCTTTGGATGTGATATTCTCCAAATCTTTCTGCATCATAATCTCTCTTAATTTGGTTTTAATTAGCCTTTCAGTGCGCTCACGTTCAGTTGGGCTGAGAAGAAAGAAATGGTGATTTTTCTTAGGCAGGAATTTGACTTAGTAAATTAATATGCCACTTGTTTATGTTTCCAAATTGGTGGGCCTTGGCTCTATAACCCGCAAGTTTATATAATTCAGGGCAAAAAAGAAATTTAATTTAAAAAAGTTTCTTTTTAGTATTTTTTAAAAAATATTTACTTATGCATACAAGAAGTGGGGTACAGGCCAGAAGTGCGTGTGTGTGTGTACAGGAGAGGATTCACTAGAGACAGAGTGGGGAGCAGAACAGGTAGAGTGACTGAATGCAGTGTTGAGGGGGGCAGCAGGAGAGACAGGAGAGGTCTGCTGTGCCATGTGGATCATCTCCCTGGCTGGGGAACAAACTCCTGCTAGAGTGGCTGCAGATAGTATCACAGTGCTGTGCTTTAACCCGTTGCACCACCAGGGAGGGCCCTCTTTTCAGTATTTCTAGAATGTAAATATGTAGGCATTAACTGGGGAAGTTGTACACACCTAAAGGTCTTTAAATTCATATATACGTATATCCATGAGGGAGTAAAGATACACAGGATATACTGAGTATTAATATTCCTGAGGATCACTTGTTAAACTAGAATGATGAGCTGAGTAGACCAGTGATGTGACCCATTATGGAACTTGGTCTTCTTGTAGTTTAAAATGCCACCTTATGCTGATTTTCACTGCCAAATTCTAGAAAGTGGGAAAAGGGGAGAGAGTAATCCCTGTCTTCATTGAGGCAAATTCTCTTCCAAAGTGAGTTTCAAGGATTTACTAAGCAGAATATTTCCACCCCGAATGTTCTTCTTTACATGAAAGCTCTCATACAACCTCTGTGTACCTGTCACCTTATTTTACAGAAAAGGAAATAAACAGCTAAATGGTTAAATGAAATATGAATGATCACAAGTACCAGTAGGAGAACCAGAACACTCAGCCTAGCCCGAGACTCTATCTTTAGGGTTCTGTTGCTTACTTTAGTTTTCTGAAGCTCTTAAAAATAAAATTATCCTCAGAACTTTAGTAAAATAAAATCAGACCAGACAGTTGACTCTCTAATTACTAGAAAGCCACTATTTCAACGTAACTGGATCATCTCTCTATAAGCATTATTTCATACTATGTAGAATTTGAGTGAGGCTGACAGAGCATTTTCTGTCTCATCTTTCCTTCCTAACATTCAAAAAAGGTATCTGCTCTGTGATCCTTATTTGGGGATGGGAAGCCTCAGGGATCCTGCATGCCTTTGCTATCTACTATACTACGTTATCTGGGGCCCCCCACCACTTGTGATCTTACCATGTGTTCTCATGAACTCTGCAGAATATAGCTAATACCTGGACCATTTTCCTGTCTATCACCCAAGACCTTCTTTTCTTTTTAAAAAGATCTTTATTTATTCATTTTTGTATAGAAGAACTGGAGTGTAGGCCAAAGGTGTGTGGAGTGGGGGAGTAAACACAGTCAGAGTGGGGAACAGAACAGGCAGTTCTACTGAAATACACTGCTGAGAGGAGCAGCGGGTAACACAGGAGAGGTCTGCTACACAATGTGGGTCAGCTCCCTGGCAGGGGATCAAACTCAAACTGTAGTGGTGATAGCTTGAGACTTAACCCCTAGGCCCTGTCTTGACTAGAGTTAAAATTCTTTGTCATGCTCCCACCACTTTTCCTTAGAAAAAGTTAATTTTAGTCTTCCATTAAAAAGAAATATAGACAGAACAAAATTTAGCAGCTGTGTACATGGATATTCTAATTTGTCAATTTTCCTCCCAATCCTTCATACTTTTTTGAGGCAGAGTGATCTGGGAGTAGACACACTTGGACTTTAATCTCAGCCCAGCTATTTATTAGTGGTGTGACCCTGACCACGTCCCTTCCCTTCTCTGAGCCTGTCTCCTTTTCTAAAGTAAAGAGGACAGTAAGAATATCTCCCTCATGAGGTTCTTATTAAATGAGACACAAAGGAAATGCCTGGCATAACCTTTGATGTTCAATAGTATGGTTACATATATTCTCCTTTCCCTTCTTCCTTGGATTTCAAAATATGATAGTACAGCAATTGTGACACACAATCTCCTTGCATTCTCAGCAGTCTTTTTTAGGGTTTAAACTTAGTAGGAAGGAGTGGAAAATTAATTACAATACAAGCACACACTTTCTCCCTTAATTTTACTGAGAAAAAATTGGAAAACACAAAGAAAATAATCATTAAAAGAATGCAAAGAAAATAAAATGCAAAGAAAATAATCACTAAAAGTCCCTCTATCAAAGAATCACTACTAATCTATAGCTTTTTGTCTTTTTTCCTATGAACAGCTAAGAACTAATACTTAACGATCTTTTATCTTAGATCAGAGACTACATTCTATATTTTTTTCTGCCTGAAAAGCAAAGAGAAATTATGGGCAATTTGATTTTCTTGTTTTCTTTCTTTCTTTTTTTTTGTGTTGCAGTTTCTAATAAAATCAGGAAAAATGAGGAATATTTTCTTTCATGTAAGTTTGGTTCAAAATGTCCATTTTTGACTCAGGTGAGACATCTTATTCCTACCAACCAACAATAAAGCATGAAACAGTAAGATTTCCTAAGATTTGAAAGTCAGGATAATCCTTACTTTTTTAGGTAGTATGGGATCTTGAAAGAATTAGGGCTACTGAAAAGGTGGTCTTAGTACCAGTAACACACTAGGCAAAAGATCTTCCACTGCCTTCCCCCTCCCCCCATTCCATTCATACATTTCCTAGAAAAGTCATCTCTTTCTAGTAAAAATAAAATTATTAACTATTATTCAAATAAAGTTTTTTTTTTTTTTTAAATCATGAACTGTTTTGGCATCACTTTAGGAATCTGAAGGTGAAAGTTTGTAAGTCAGATAGTGAAGGTCTACACTTCTTTCTGAGGTGCAGACTACCTGAGAAATGCAAAGATCAGTTCAGAACAAAATGAACATCTTGACTAATTTCTAAATGCAGGAACTAAAGTGTGAAAAATTTCCAAAATAGTCACATAGGTTAAATACATAGACCTAAAAAGGAAATAAACATCACCTCCACCTTAGGTTTTTAATCTACCTTATAGCACACCAGGGAGATTTTTGCTGACAAAAACTTAACAAGGCAAAGATGGAACTGAGGAAGATACCTGAATTACATAAAGGTATTTTTTGAACAACAATAAATTTAAAATGAGTGTACAAACCTTAGTATTCTCTTAAATCAACCGAAAACAGTTTTCTTAAGTATTAGAAAGTATTAGAAACATCCCTCTAAAATTTCTCTTGTGATTAATTTCCAAATATTTCTTTCATGGGTAATGTAAAGGTGGACTGCAAACCATTTATTTTAAACTCAAATTTCAAATTAGTGGAATATGAATTAATGGAATGTTATGGTACTATAGCTGTTAACTGTATACAGTGGAGAATTCCACTGTGCCCTGGAGTAAAAATTCAGGTCTTTGCAGACAATAAAAATAATAAGTTTCTTTATGTGCAGATATGTGATGTAGAAAATGACAGTTATCACAAAGATTACTTTTTGAAGAAGACAGATTAGTGAGAAACATGCTGTTTATAAACCCCCTAGCACACAACAGAGAGGACTTTCATGATCTTCAAACTGACTTACATGTCAGTGAAGAGAGCTGGAGAGTCAGGCCGATGGGACTGCACATCTTGCATAGCATTCCATTCATTGACTGAAGACTGATCTGAGTTGATATGGCTTTCGTAATAACTCACCCAGGTGAGAAACAGGCTGCCTGGGTAGTAGTTATGCATTCTGGCCACTTCACAAGCTTTGTGAAGACTCTGTAACGCAGACCTGAAAAAAAAAAGCTAGTAAATGAGCACTGCAGAATTGTGGGGGTACCAAAAGGTTAATTGTGTGCATCCCCAACTGCTCCAAATTTTAGATCCTTGTAGAATTGTTGTCTAAGGAATCTACTCCCTGAGGTTCAAGGTTCTCTGATTCTAATCTGCACTATATTATCTATCCATAGCAATCGAGCAGACATTTCTTGCTAGAGGGATATGACACATTATTAATGGGAGGTGGAGGAAAAGCAGGAGAATTGATAGCCATCAGTGAAAAACAGGACTGGATTCATGTGGAACTTGTAAGCTTTGAGTTGGAGCTATGAGGTGGCTATGCTTTATTGTTAGAGAACTAAAGATCGCAACCATTTATCACAGAAGATTTGTTCTGTGAGTCACAGATGCATACATTTCCTATGATTCTTAAAGGCTTCACAAAGATCACACAGATGTTCCTAATCTTTGAGGACATGTCCTTTATGTCCAGAAAGTACTGATTAAATGACATGTATCATTCATGCTTTGTCTCCTAGTATGTTTAAATCATTTATTCATACTCGAGCTACTTTTCAAGAGTAGCCTTGATAATTATGAGACTTGAATCTCTAAATGTGAACTCAGGAACCCAAGAAGGGTAAACAGAATGAAAAAAATACATTTTTGGTTACATATTTGGGAAAAGCTAAAGCTAGAAATGCTAGGAAGTTAGTTACACAAGAACAAGGATCTTTCTACATTTTGTTTATTGAAGTATCGTTAAGTGACAAAAAGAATATTGAGTTGTTCATAGTTGAAGCATAGTATTTGTTAAATGAAATATATTAGTTATAAACTAATGTCTTTCTTCTAAGGAAAAAGACAGTATGAGAGAATTCTAGGGCAAGCTAAGTTATTTACATTTTTTTCATATAGACACACTTTTATTTTATTCTCTCATAACAAAAGCAATTTGTTTCCTTTTCCTTAAAAAAGCTATGGACCTCAGTAAAAGGCAGAAATAACCTGTAATATGACCATCTAGAAATAACTACTATTAAGGTTTTAGTGTAGATCATTTCAGCATTTTTGTTTGTATATAGATCTACAATAAAGATATGACCATATTTTGCATTCCACTTTAACTTGCTCTTTTTTCCCTTATTTTATACCTTGCGACCAACATCTTCCCAAGTCAATAAACTAGATAACTTTTAATGGTGCATGACATTTAGTAATGTGATATGACATAATTTAATTGAGGTTTATTTGTTCAGCCATTTAAAGCTGGTTTCCAATTTTTGCTGCACTTGAAAACTGATAAAACATTCTTATGGTTAACATTTTTGTACACACCATTGGTAAGAATAAATTCTTATTAGAACTATGAGGTCAAAGGACACGTAAAATGATAAGGCATATTAGCAATTATTCTACAGAAAGCTCTAGCTTATTCTCCCACCAATTGTATATAATAATGTTGGTTTCTTGAATCCTTATCAATCCAGTATAATGTAAATTTCTAAAAAATTAAAAATTTGATAAGGGGAAGAATGTGCCAAGTTATTTTTATTAGGGAAACAGGTTTTTCCTGAAAAACAAAGTTTTAGACTCCTTTAAAATGCTTTTTCTATTACTCAAACTAAACTGATTTCCCAGAGAATTTTCAGTGAATTTAACGTTCATTACATAGTTTCAAAGGTAAAGACCAGTTAGTGCAATGTACAGATACTTAATGCATGTTTTCTTCAACAGCATACACAAGACTCTGTGCAAGTGCCCTAGAATCCTTTCAAGGCTTAGCCGCCTCAGACTCTAGCTGCATACAGGAAAGTAGCTGCTGCAGCTACTTTTTGTGAAGAAAACACCTGGTGCTGCTTTGATCCATCTTTCCTTTTTCTGTGACTTTTAGTTCATTACTCCCCATGTGGTACACCAAAAAAAAAAAGTTTATTAGCAAAAGCTAACATAGCCAGAACTAGTCAGTTTACTTTAGAACACCAAATCCTTTTATTTAAAAAAAAAATTATTTATATATACATGTAAGAGCTGGGCAAGAGGTGTGGGGTGTGAGAAGATTCGCCAGAGATGGAGAGGGGATCAGAACAGGAGTACTGACGGAAATAAACTGCTGAGGGGAACAGTGACAAGACAGGAGAGGTCTGCTGCACTGTGTGGTCAGCTCTCTGGCTGGGGATTGAACTCTTGCTGCAGTGGCTGTGGATTGCTTCACAAAGCTGAGATTTAACCCCTTGTGCCACCAGGGAGGTTCCCAGAACATCAACTCCTGACAAGGTTATTACCCGAATCTTTACGGTCTTAAAAATTAAGACTTCTTGGCCCTCCCTGATGGCGCAGTGGGTTAAAGTACAGCACTGAGAAGCTAAAGCCACTTCCGCATGAGTTTGCTTCCCGCCTGCCCCGGAGGTGACCACATGGCGTGGCAGACCTCTCCTGGCCCGCCCGCTGCTCCCCTCAGCAGTGTATTTCGTCAATCTGCCTGTTCTGTTCCCCACTCTGTCTCTGGTGAAGCCTCTCACTGCCCCTGAGCCTCTGGCCTGTACCCCAGTTCTGTGTGCACAAATAAATAAATCTTAAAAAAAAAAAATTAAGACTTCTTTATATTCCTCCCCAAAATGTAACTGAATACACTGACATTTATGGTATTCACTGTAACTTGGTTTTACATGGCACCTAGGGAGAAAGGTAAGTTGCCTTTAACTAGGCCTTAGGTAAAGCAGGACATTAAGTTTCCATGAGAAATTCAGCTGTGAAATAAGCTCAGAACTGGTCTAAACACATGACCTAAAACTATCTTACAATGCTATTACTGCAAAAAAAAAAAAAAAGTTAAGATTGTTAGTTGTTCAGCTGACTGTTCTAGGACTCAGCACACCTGGAGTTTATCAGTTCTGTTATTCAAGAATAGATAATTGCCTGACGTCTTTTTCAGTCTCCTTTATTTCTTCTTTGGCTTGCTTTCTGTCCCTTCTGCTCTTCGTAGGGACTTCCATTATAGTAGAGTTCACTGAATGTAGAACTAAAATTCAAGTCCTTGACTAGGAGACAGACTCCGATTCTTAGCATCACAACATTCCCTTGTAACATTATATAATTTCCTAGATATTATAAAACGAGCAAGTAAAAATCTATTCTAAATGTAAGATACTCTCAGATCAGCTACAAAACATTTTTAAAACCTTAGTTTTTTTATCCAAGGAGCCAATTGTATTATTTTGAGAGGCTAATGATATAATCTACGTAAAGCATTAGGTACAATCCCTGACACATAGCAAGTGACTGCAAAGTGTCATTACATCAGCTGATGGTTCTTAACGATTATATAGTGCTTTTTCTATGATTTATTTGTATTATGTAAACAGTCATCAGCAACCTAATGGAAATATCTATGTAGTGTAACTCCACCAATGCTATGATGGTTACCTCAAGACATTGAAATTTATTTGTCTATTTTTTTAAAGGGTGGGACTTAATCTTTATTTACTGGGTACTGCAAGATATGAAATTTCACAAAGAAATAAAAAATCCATTGAGAGAAGACATTTCATATAGTAAGTAGGTTGGAGCTGTTCACGTATAGTTTTGTTGTAAAGAGTGCTACAATTACAGATTACATTTAAAAAGTTCTTAGTTGAGAAACAGTAAGACAAACAAACTAAACACAGTATACAGCAAACAACTTTATGCCTTGGTTGTTCAATCTAAAAGTTAAATCTCCCAGGAGTGCCATCCTGAACTTGGAATGTATAGCCTTCAGAGGTAGTTTCTGGCACAACATTTTGTGGCACAAGGGTACTAGGCTCTTACAGCGACAAAGATTTGAAAGTGTTTAGGTAAGATTACGAAAGTAGTCATATGCTAAAAATGACATATTAGGAAAAAGCAAGAAGCACCAATAGTGTTTCAACTACACCATACTTGATAACTAAATCTTGGAAAACTGAACCATCACCTGCAATGTTTCCTAGAATCCAAACAGCCTGCTCACTGATGTGAGAGTGGGGAGATGCCAAAGAGAAATGAATGCTGGGATAGCACCTCCACCTGCCACAGCCTTTGTTTGTTTTGATGTCCCAAAAGCAAAGTTAGTAAATGCCCAAGCAGATTCAAACTGAATGGGAATACAATCAATTCTGCCAAAAGACACAAATTTTGGATTCAAACTAGCCTGGATTAAATTGTCAGGGGGAAAGGGGCGGTTTCCTAGAAAGCAGTTTCCTAGTGGCTTGAGTATCTTGGAGCTGGCTTTCTACATTACTATTTATGCTTTTGACTATGTTATCAATACACCAATTTACAGAGCTCTGATTGTTTAAGTTTTTCTGCAGTGAAGTAGGGTCATCAGGAAATGAGCTTACATTTTTTCTTTTCAGCATCTAGTCATCTTTCTTTGCTTTCCTCTTTAACTTCCATTCTCTGCTACCTCATTTCTGTACTGTTCTTCCCTTTGTTCTTGAATCTATTAAGGTGGGTAGCTGATGAATTAGCATTCTTGCTGCTGGACATGGTTATGAGACAAAGGAGAAAACCTTTAAAGCCAACCTAGGCTTCCACAGGATGTGGGGCCCACAGGGTGTTTGGCCAGTACCCTTAAAACATCCACCTCAGTTCAGCCTGAAGATAGAGTGGCTCATGTAACTGGCTGGCATGATTTTCAAGGTACTGAAATTTAATGTATAGTAGTGTGAAGTTCTAGACTTGGCTCTAGATTGCTGCTAACAATGAATCCCCATAAAATTCAGTTCCAGCTGACTATCTGATCCATTAAGTACTTTCCAGAGTTAAGAATACCAAATTTCAACTTGTTCACCAATGTTCATTGCATTGGTGATCTCCACAGTGATAACCTAAAAGTTGAACTTTCAGATCATCTTTAACTATCAAGGACACACAAACAGATCACACAAAATCCTATAAACAAAAAGCAGATCATGTAGCATTTTCATAGAGAATTGTGCCATACCAAATACTATATTCTCACTCTAGTAATATCATAGAGATATTAAAATTCCTCTTACCACATAGCCTGCACAGATACAGGTTTGAAGATGTGGACTCTGTTATCTGTTGAAACGCTGAATCCACTAAGGAAAGAGAGAATAAGACATTAAAACACAAATGAGAATGGACCATTTCAATACTGAGTTTTCAAGTTCATTTTGCAATTAGCAATGGCAGGTTCAGTAGAATCATCAAGCACTTCATGTGGAAGTTAATTGGAGTATTGGGCTTGACTGAAAAGTTTCAATAAATTGTCTGATTTTATCTACTAAACTAAATGAAATGACTCCCACAGTGGAGTTAAGAGAACGGCATACAGTTTCCCAGCTGTAGCTACGGACAAATTGTTCTGCTGCGTATTTCTATTTGGAAGTCTTATGTGTTCTTAGCAAACCTGACCCTGCTTTTATAAACTAGAGCAAACATCTTGGTCTCTTGGGACACAGTTTAAAAACACCAGGAGGTGGGAGGTGGAGGGTCACTGGGGGGAACTGGCACAGAAAAGGGGTTATACTGTAGGCTGACAGCTGGCAGAGGCAGCAAGAGGTTATTTGAAACAGAACATATCATCCTCTGGGAAAGCACTGCAATAGCCACACATGCTCAGATTAAAGAGTGAGCCAACAAGCTAGTTCTTTTTTGTTTGGATTCTTACCATAGTTAGCCTAGAAGAACAGAAGTGAGAGGCCCTGGCAAGTTTGATTTTTACTCTACTCCACAAAGCAGGAGTTTTAAAAGAACTCACTGATCTGCTGACATGACTGTTCAATGGGGTCTCCCATTCAGTGAATGAATGGGCACTAAGATGGAACACCTCCCCCCTACCCCCCACTTTCTGTAGGAAAGTAAAAAGGGAAAAAGTTCTTACCCATCACCATCCAAATGAATTAGGGTGTCACTCCAGAGAGGCAAGACTAAGCCCATAGTACAAGTGCTACTGCAAGAGAAGAAATCATCCATAAATTACTTCCGATTATTCCAGGAAGCATTTCTTTGTTCATTAACTTTTATACAGAGATAACACCCTAAGCTGTAAATTTTGATGTCAGACTGGAGAAATACAAGGTATATGTTCAGAAATGGTTTTAGACAAATGGCTATCAGAGGTCCTTATATATTTAATAAAGGAAACATATTAACTGAGTGTGTTGAATTGCAAACAGCCACTGTCTAAAAAAATCCAGGTTGATGTTTGGTAGGTTGTAGCCCTCAAATTAACCTTCAGAATTATTTCTAATTCAAGAATTACTGATGAAGACCTCTGAATATGTGATTTGCTAGATTCTAATAGAAAGGCTTACACAGGTTTATTGAACACCAGAATAAATTCAATAGTCTAAAAGGGAAAAGGAAATAAACATGTAATTGTTAATGACTTAGAGAGACTTCTTAAATAAAACAGTACTTGGTTGTGCACTGAACTAGCACTGCTGAAATGCAGAATGAATAGGAATGCCAACAGCCATATAAAGATAGCTCTGGCACATTACAATATTATTTAGATCACATCCTGATCTGGGGAGAAACTGATTTTTAGTTAATGGAAGAGGGTGGGATAGGAAGTTATAGAGGTTGGACATATGTACAGTAGTCCCCCCAGTAAATTCCTGAAATAACAAATAGTACCAGACTTTACATATACTATGATTTCCCCCATACATCTGATAAAATTTAATTTATAAATTAGGTACAGTAAGCAATTATCAGTAATAACAAGTAGTAACAAGTTACAATAATATACTATAGTAACAATTATGTGAATCATGCCTTTCTCTCAAAATATATTGTTTAGGATTACTTTGACAGTAGATAACTAAAACTGTGGAAAGTGGGGAATAACTTACCCCAGACCTTTGCCACTTTCTCTTAAGGCTGACAAACCATTTTTCCCTTCTAACCAGTCTCCCAAAGGAGATGAGAAGAGGTGAATGAAAGGAAAACTTGTTTTGAAAATGGCTTCCCAAGGTGGAGTGGGTTATTTTTAGAGCAGTTATTTTTTCAGTGAGTGCTCAGTCAGGTTCCTAGCAACAAGTATAATTTGGGAATAAATATAAAGGGCTAATAGCCTGGTGACCAAGCTAAAGAAATTACAGGAGAAACAGAAGGTCTGAAATGGTACAATTGATGAGCCTGTTACTAGACATCACTTGAATTTGGACAAGTGACAATATAGGAATTAAGTATCATTTTCAGCTTGTATTTAGGTCAGAATTCTTTTTTTTTGGGGGGGGCACTTGGGCTGTTTCCTTGTCTTTCCAATTGTAAATAATGCTGCAGAATGCTTTTTTACATTAACTTTTTCACACAACAGGAGAAAGGCCTGAATTAGGCACACCATGGATTTTTATCCAGCTCATGAGAATCTCATGAGATTTTTTTCCATTAAGGAACAGGTAATTATTTAAGGGCCTCCAACGTGGCACAAGGAGTTAAGTCTCAGCAACAGGAAGCTATCTGTGGCAGCTACAGCCTGTGTTCCATCCCCCCAGCCAGGGAGTTAATCCCCATGGTGCAGCAGACATCTCTTGTCTTGCTTGCTGCTCCCCTCAGTGGTATATTTCAGTAGATTGGGCTGTTCTGCTCCCAACTCTGTCTCTGGGGAATCCTTTCATCATCTCCCATCCCCACACCTTTGGCCTGCATCCCAGCTCTTGTATGTATAAATAAATAAAATAAAACTTAAAAATAAAAGGTATTTTTAATAAAACTCATTCCATTCAACAAATACTTATTGAGAGCTTATATGCACAAAACATCTCCAGGTGTTGGGAGTAAAAGAAAAAATTATAAAACATAACCCTAAATTTCTATTATTTTATTTTATAACTTGAAACATATCAAATGCAATTTGGAAACCAAGATTATACTATATACTACAAAATTTTATTAAAAGTATAAAAAAACATGTAAATAGGATTAATAAATTCAGTGGAATATATCCTAAGAACCTCTTGGGAAGAATATACTATATACAATCTAATTTATACTTTGGTTTAATACTAATTTGACATCGACTTTTTTTTTTTTTTAAAAGATTTATTTATTTATTCATACAGAACTGGGGTACAGGCCAGAGGCTCAGGGACGGTGAGAGGCTTTACCAGAGACAGAGTGGGGAGCAGAACAGGCAGATTGACGAAGTACACTGCTGAGGGGAGCAGCGGGCGGGTCAGGAGAGGTCTGGCTCGCCATGTGGTCTCCTCCGGGGCAGGAGGCAGGCGGGAATCGAACTCATGCGGAAGTGGCTTCAGATTCTCAGTGCTGTGCTTTAACCCGCTGCGCCACCAGGGAGGGCCTTGACATCGACTTTTAACATTCTTAAGAGACAAAATGATAAATTCCTGCAATTGCAACTAAGGTAGAAGTGATATCAGAGTACTTGAGCACCAGTATTCTGAGTGCGCAATATTTCTCTTACTGTTCAAGGAACTTTTTCAGAGGATATATGGAAATTCATAGTATCAAGTTTAACAAATGGAATGAAAACTAGTTTCTATGGCTTTTCATATCATACTTTTGTCTTCTATGAACTAAGGTATTCTTTTGAAACTCAGAGATGATTCAGGCAAGGTTATTAGTGAAAGGTGAAGATATTCTTTCAAAGTAAATTACTGTGTATGTATGTTAATAAACATCCTTTATGATTTCTAGAAATACTTAGGACAAAGTAAAAGAGATAAGACTTCTATCTGACTTCTCACACTTTGAGTCAAGAGAATCTAGCAGAAGACTCAAGTAGTTTTCATGTAGCCCCCGTTTCTGTTTTATGGGGTTTCCAAATGTGAATTTGGGAGAACTAAACAAAGGAAGTAAGGTGTATTACAAACAAACTAAAAGCAATGCTGGCCAATTAACTTTTCTACAGTGAAGTTAATCCATGGATTGCCCTATATGGCAGTCTAATCACATATAGCTAGAATTCTTGAAATATGGGTAGTAATGACTGAGTACATTTTTAATCTAATTTATTTTTAATATGTTTAAAAGCCACAAAGTGGTAGTGGCTGTTGTAATAGACAGCACAGATACAGAGACAGAAATCCCAATTAGGGCCTCCCAATTAGGGTTTGTTAAAGTCTCAGCACTATCAAGCTATATCACCAGCCACTGTGGCATGAGTTCAATCTCTGGCCAGGTTGCTGACCCATGTGGTGCAGCAGACCTCTTCTATCTCACCCATTGTTCCTCTCAGCAGTGTATTTCAGTCAATCTGTCAATGGTGAGTCCTCTCACCCCCCATATCTCACCCCTTCCCCATACCTCTGGCCTACACCTTAGTTCTTGTATGCATAAATAAAATAAAATATATCTTAAAAAAAAAAAAATCCCAACCAGAGGTCTTAAAATCCTAATGAATGTAGGTAAGGTAGGTCTTCTTATAAGATACATGTTTACTGAGAGGTCTATTTCTTAGCTAACACTAAAGGTTAAAACCAAGCAGGACAGAGAGCTTTCTAAATGTGGTTTATAAGGGCCTTGTAATTTCAGAGCTGCAAGTGGTATACAAGATAACAACTCTGGCCTTGTGAATCCACAAGTCATTTTCAGGTTGGCTAATAAATTCAGGTAAACTCTACTTACTACTTTGGGAAACTTTCTAGTGAGAGTATGGTATCTGTTCCTCCCTTTTCTCCTAATTTTCCTCTCCCCCATGAATCACCCTCAGTCTCCTCTTCTCTTTGTGGCTAAAGTGTCCCAGTCCTAGGTCACACCCCTAGCTACTCCTCAGTTCCATTCTAGTACTCAACCAGGAAGTCAATGCTTTGAGCATCTGGCAGGATTTCCTGAGGCTTATTATCTAGAGTGCAAAGATCTGCTTAACAACCACATTCCACAGTCTTCCCAAGATTTTTTCCAGAAAAAGTAGAAAAATAAGATTAGAAAAGCAACAAACCTTAGGGACACACACACACACAAAAAAAACAACAACTAGGCTCTGTGTGATATATGAATCTTTTATCATAGGATATAAGTACCACCAAAGCCAGATGTGTATGATTAAAAGGTTCTGCTTTGAGTTTAAAGAGTAACTTCCCCCTCCTTTTTTAACTCAGAAGGAAAAAGGAAGCATAACATTTGGTAAAATAAGGTCTAAGGCTATGGATAAATATAAGAGAATGAAGTTAAAGTGGGCTCCCTCAGAATTCAGGACCCATTGATGTACTATCACAAAGGGTGTGTGCTCTTAGAATCACCTAGATAAATCATTACTGCTTAATATAAAGTGGATTGCAAAGAAAAAAACAGATTCTCTCCCACTACTCTCCATTGAAAACATTTGCTTTATATCATCACCACCTGAAGATGAGAGGAAGGTAAGGAAAAGAGTGGTAAATTAGGAACACATAACAATAGACATTCAAAGCATTTTCATCTCTCAAGACTGAACGGCTAAGATATTTTTGTGTTCTAATTTTATGCATTAAACCTTCAAAGTAGAATGCATACAATGTTTTTGTGATGACTCAAAAGGAAGAGGTTATCTAAAAAGGAGTTTTCTCACCCTCCCTTTTGTGGTACCATACCTGTCATTAGAGGAAAAATCCATTCCTAAGACAATGCTTTCTTCAGTGTCTTGTCTACCATTAGTTGAAACCACTACCATATAGCGTGTTCGATTCTGGTAAGTACTTTCTAGTCTGACAGCCTGGAAATTAACAAACAACACATAAATTCAGAAAGCAAATTTTAGTTTATTCAACCCTCTTTATATCAACATCTTAAAGTACACTCAGTAGTAGTTAGAAGACTTTAATTTAAATCCCAGATAATGTATTAATTATGCAATTTTCAGTAACTTACTAAGTTAATTGAAAAGAAATATAATACTACTTACCATATTGGGTTAGAAGACTCAAATGAAATAATGTATGTTCAGCATTTGTTTGGCATACACATAAGTGCCCCAAAAAAGTTTGTCACTATAAATTATGCTAATTTATAGTAATAACAATTACCAGGATATGTTCTAAAGACCAAAAGAGGGGAAATATGAAGTTTATAACTGTGAACATGAAACTCACAGGTGCGAGTTCCACAAATTATAATAATCTGAGACAAACTATTAATATCTAAGAGGACTATGACCTACTGAAGTTTTGCAGTTTATACACTGTAACTTTTCCCTTCATTTCAATTGTAGTTAAGGAAAACTGCTTTTGCAGAAGTGTGTATTTTTTTTAAAGATTTATTTATTTATGCATACAAAACTGGGGTACAGGCCAGAGGTGCAGGGGCAGTGAGAGGAT